CCCGGGACACCCCCGGGACACCCCCGGACACGGCGGGAGCCCCCGCGGAGCCCCCGGGTCCCCGCCGGCAGCTGCGGGGCGGAGGAGCAGAGCCGGCGGCTCCCCCGCCGCAGGGGCCGCGGGCTGCGCGTCCCGCACGGCCCCGCCGGTGACTCATCGCGGCTCCGAGCCCGCCCGGGTATAAATATCTCATTCATCGCCGTAGTAACTGAGGGGCTCACGCTGCTCTGGCGCTGCTGAAAACTTGGAGCCGAGTTTTTGTCCAAGTAGGCAGAAAGTGAATGGAAGGTTGTTAGTGAAAGCTGGGTTTGCCGTGGTTTAATGTTGTGGTGAGGTAGCTTGAAGCTGGAGAGGATCGAGGACCTTTGTGGTGGGTAACTCACACAGTTTTTGTTTCTCTTCCTAGAAGAGAAGTCACACCATTTGCCTAGAATACTCTAATTATATTTCCCAGTAAGGTTGACTACAACCACTGCCCAGATAAACGACCATACTATTTTCCAGTATTTCTATCCATTAAGTGCCACCAGAGGATCAGCAGTGGATGCCATATCGATTCATTTCCAGTAGGGACTGACATGTTTGAACTCAGTAGTTCTCAGTTTATTAAAAACAATCTCTTAGTCATGCTCTCATATACTGTTGGAAAAGTACTCTGAAGAATTTTTATCTCCCAAGTCGATCACGATCAAGTGTCTTGGATAGACCTGCCTGTTATGTGAAGTGTGTTCAGAGGCAAACTGCTGCAAGGTTGAACTAGTCCACACATGCAGGTCTCATCTGAAATCCGTACACAAGCCTCCTGGTAAGGTTGCAGAGCACTTGGATATTTTCCATCTTGTTGATATGGGGTGTGGTTTTTCAACTCCTTGAATTTCGGTACGTTTGGATAAAGAGCACGATGTAAACCTAAGGCTGTAGATACAGCTGAACTGACAGGGGTTGCCTGTTGCAGAGACTGATATCAGGAGGATGACCCAAACCATGAGCATACCAGTGTCAAGCTACCCTAAAAATGATTTGAACGTCATTTTGTTGCCTCTCTAAATTGCCTGTCCATGCTTGAGTGAATGCTTCTGGCTGAGGCCATTCATGCTCTGAAATAACTCTGCAGCACAGGAGGTGTTCTGCTAGAGCTGTCTGGGGTGATTAGGTTTGTAGCCGGTAAGTGAGGCCTGGTGACCCGGGCTATAGGTGGGAAATGCATCCAGCTCCAGCCTGACTCTGTGTTCCAGTGGAAGTGAAGGGCAGCGGTGCTGCTGTTTGTAACAAGAAGGCAGTCCGTGACAGCACCGCTGCTGTTTCTGAAATACACACTGACACTGAACACCTACTATTTTGTTTATAAACATGCAGTGAGATACTTCATGAGGCTGCAGAAGGGCAAGTCTCAGACCTGCAGCAGCCGAATAGGCGCACGATAGATCCGTGGCAGCTGCTGAACTGTTCCCATGGGCAGCGTTGTGCTGCGTTTTGGGGGCTGAATGATGCACAGGGAAAGCTCGATGCACGGTGGCATTTTGCAGATAGGGGCTGAAACACAGCAGAGCCTCATCACTGGGGGATTATATTCGCTGTATTCATTGGTAGCCTTGCTTTGCCCGTTATCCAATGTATAACTCTTCTGTGGATTAGGACGTGACAGACTGCATGAAGAAATGTCAGTCTGGCTGGAACTCCTGTTCTCAGGTCGGTTGAGCAGCTCAGCCCACATGGAACAAGTGACAGCAGGGCTGGAGGAGTAACAAGCTAAGTAAGCTTCAACAGGTATAGCCTTCTGTTCCCCCAAAGCTACAGGAACTGAGAAAGGTGAATTTTTTTGTAGGGAGCAATTGGTAATAATTTTGATCTCTGTAGCTTTTTAAGGGCAATATTCCTGCAGTGAACCTGTTAAACCAGAAGTAACCCTCTAGCTCTTGCTCTGAGACTTGTGGATTCTGTATAATACCTTATTTCCTGTGCTCTGTTGCATCTCCTGTACGAGCTTATTCTCTTAAAGTGTTTCTGGACTCTCTTCCATTTTGCTCCTTTAGTGGAAAGCTCTCCTTCCTCTGATCTGGTCTCTCAAGCTGCATGCCCTTTTTCAATCCCACTCATTCCTGTAAAATGGCCTTTTCTGAGATATTTACAGTATCTGAGTCAATATTTCTGTATGTCTTTTTGTAAACAAAACCAGTAATTCACAGTTTGAAATGAGTAATTAGGTTGCTGTGCTGTGGGCTTGTCTCAAAGGAAAACCAGGGCTTCTGAAGTGCATTTCCACTCGTGACATTCTTTTGTGTGAAGCTGAAGATTTCTCCCATTCAAGTTCTTAAGTCTCCCTTCTCATCTCAGTATAAAACTACCTCTCAGAATATATTGACCAAAGGGATTATTTTTTTTCATCCAAAGCTGAGTTTTGTCATTCTTTTCCCAGGGAAACCTTAGCCACTATTGAAATGCACTGTGGTCTGATTTTCCCTCTGTTTTTTTTTTCCCTCCTCTCTCCAGAGGTGCTGAGCTAGCAAGCTGAACTTTTTGTGAAGTAGGCCTCCCTGTTGCACATGGATCAATGTGCTTCTCTGGAATCTCTTGCTTGTTGTCATCAACTTTTTTTCTGTCATTTTCTGCACTGATATGGAATTATATCTTGAAAAATAATCTTTGTCGTACGTCCAAATTTGTTCTTTGATCCACAGCCTAATTTCTGGATGTCTCTGGACCATCTGTCAGGCTGATTCTTTCAGGAGAGATCAGTTCAGGTTGTCTGGAAGGGCTCCCATGCGCCGTGTAGGCATTGCGGGAAGCACGTTGATTCCAGGGCTGTGGATCTCTGCGGAACAAACCAGAACTGAAACGCGCTGGGGAGCTTTTGCTTTTTGGTGAATGGCATCTTTCCCACCTGGTGATGTGGTGGTTGTGCATGGAGATCTTGTCTGAAGAGCAGATCTGTTGTTAAGGGATCCTAAAGTCCTCAGAGCAGTTATCTTTCTCCCAAATCCCCTTGTTTTATGAAAGTCTCCGTTTATGGAAGCGGCCGAAGGATAACTGTGCATTTTGCAAAAGCTGTGCTTTATCTCTGCTATGATTTCTTACTTTTCTGAAGTAGGATACGGTGCCCATAGAGCATTCTGGGATGGAAGAGGCAACATAAATGTAGGATTACTGCTCCAAGGGAAAAGGGATGAGGGTTGACTTAAAGTTTTGACATTGTTTCCTTCATAAATAAAGCATTACTTTGGGTCAAGCTGCAGGAAAGACACAACTGAAGCTTTCTGGTAAAGGCTTTCAGGCGTTTTCGAAGACGTGGTGCAAGAGGCAGGGCTGCCATAGTACAGTCTTCATGAAAGAGTCCTTTTCTGTTTTCAATACTGAATGAGTTTCAGAAACTAGAGTTTCTAAAGATTAAAGAAAGAACACTTAGCCAATTTTACACCAACTCTTTTCCTTTTGCAGCTTTTAGTTCGATGGGTAAATTTTTCTTTGCCAAGCTACCTACTCACACAGCAACCATGCCACAGCACAGTTCTAGTTCTGTTTATCCTCAGTAACCACTGTACAATTGCTGGTAATCCGAATTCCTCTTCAGGGAGGAGGGATTAGAAGTTAGCCCAGACATCTTGGGCCTTAGCTAGACAGGCCACTGCTTTTATTTTGCTTGCTCAGTTTACTATTATTATTTTTAATTTTCTTTTGCTTGCTCAGTTTACTGTTATTATTTTTAATCTCGATCCATCATTTGCAGTTTGTCCTTTGGGTTTGAAACCTGGCTTTCTCTCTTAGTCTCAAGGCGTTTCCAGCGTAATCGAGAACTCTCTTGAGATGGTCCAACTTCTGTTCCCTGTGTATAGCACTTTGCTCATTCTGACTGCTTTAAACTTTAAACTTGATTTAAATGGTTCTTCTAAGTGCAACTGCAGGCTCACACTATTTAAATTGTCTGGCTCTTTCGGTGTCTCTTTAGTAGTATGAAATTTTTTGCGTGTCTTTCATTTGGACATTCATTCTGATGGCCCAGAACAGGCTACTACTTGGTTGGGAATGGCTCTTTGAAGTCATGGAGAACTTAACTTTCAGAGTTTATCATAAACCCCTAAATATTACTGTTTGATTCGTTAAGTTGATAGCATGTTGGAAGTAGTTATCCAGACTTCACCCAAAAAAAAGAGATAAAACATGTTGATTAATCTGAAACATCCTTTCAACCTGTTGCTTGGCTCTTTTCTCCACTTCATCTTGTTTTCTGAGTTGGTTTTTTTTTTTCCCTTGTCCTTCATGACTGTTTTCAATTTCTCTCCACTGTAGTGTTTCCTGCTTCCTTATTTGAATGTTTGAAAAAAGCAACAAAAAAGAAGAGTAAAACAGGGAGGTTCTTTGGCCAGATGTTGCTGTTAGGTGTGGCTTTCTGGTTTATACTTATTAATGTCTGGGTGAGAAATCCAGGACACACAACCATCTGTTCTCCCAATCCCTACAATAATGTGGAATTTTCTCTGTTGACCATATGTTTTCTGTTGCTGTTGGAACAGTGAAATGAATTCAAGGCAATTGTGGTCACTTTTTCTGCCTTACAACTTTTAAGCTTCATAACAGTGAACCTGAGAGAGCAGAGAACTGGGAAAATATTCATGGGAGGCTTAGGGGAAGAGAGATTCCTCCTCTCTTCTTCAGGGGAGGAGAGATTCCTCACAACCTGTCTTTTTACCTCACACTGTAGTTAAGTAGGTCTTCAGAATCCACCAAGACCTCTTTGTGTGGTTGAGCTGGGAGGTGTTGGGAGGAGGACGTGTGGTGGGGAACTGCTCAATTTACTTTCAGGTGAGAGTTTTTGTGCCCAGGCCGGAGCTGGGCTGGGGCACGGTTGGGTTTGCTCTGCATGGTTCTTATTAAAATAAGAATGCATAGGATATCAGGGCAAAAACCTGGATATTGCTTCCGGATTGTTACGTAATTCCTGGTTATGTAGGAGTTCACGACCTGTTGCAGCCTTACAAACAACCAAAGAAAACCCTCTGCTCTTCCCTTACAGTCTTCCTGGGCTCCCCGGAGTGCTCCTGCCGTGCCCCACAAGGACACTGCCGCCTGCCCGCCAACCTGATGGCGTCCACTACTGCTGTGCCTGTAGGATTCCACTATGAAACCAAGTACGTAGTGCTCAGCTACCTGGGGCTCTTAGCACAGGAGAAGCCGCAGGAGCATCCTCCTCCTCCTCCTCCTCCTCCTCCTCCAGCTCAAGGTAACATTTGCATATTCATCTGTACCATTTACTTGTGTGGCTCTGCTTGCAATTAGTTCTTGGGCTGTCGGCGGAGTGTGAGCCTGATGTTTGGTGTGACACATCTCTTGTTTTATTCCCTGAAAACTGAATTGGATTTCAGTTGAAATAGAAGAGATGTTGCTGGAAACAAAGCTGTTTGTATGTAGATGACTGTTTTAGTTTGAGCTACGTCAGGGCCTACTGGTGTTTATGAAGCAAGTAAGTGGTTTTAGTAGCTGCCTTCAGGCCAGGAGGGATGAATGTATATTGTCTTCATTGAGTTTGAGCCCATGCTTGCTTTTCTGGGGACACAAGTGGAAGTAAGCAGGGGTGAGGTGGTGTTTACCAGCTGAGTGATGGCTTGAGCAATCTCCTGTGCTAAATACTTTTGCCCTATTACATTGAGGCTTCTGTTGTTGTCAGTCAGTGGCAGTGCTGAGACGCGGCCTATGCTGCACCTATTTATTTATTTATTTATTTATTTATAAGAAGTCAAGGACTGCGTGGAGTCAGATGGTTCTTCCAGAACAGGTTTATGCATAAAATAGATTAAATAAATAAATAGAAGGCAAAATAAAAGAAGTTTGGTAGATTGTGTTTGACATAAACCTGGGGAGTGAAGCTTTTCTCCATTTTGTGGTGGCAAGCACTTAAACAATGTTGTTTATCAGGATTGCTTGGGTGACTTGCCACTTCTTAATGATGTTTCAGTCACTAGTAGTTCCTATGATTCAGAACTTATTCTGCTTAAAGAAGAATTAAAAATACCCAAACCAAAGTCTTTAAAATATTTTTTTTGAACAGGCATTTAAGAATGCATACTGTGTCATTTACTGACCTTAACTGTCATGAAGTGAGGAATTCCTGGAAAGAAAAGATTGCATCAAAGTTACAATAGAAATGATTTTCAGTTTGGCACTAAAGCCTATAGCATATGCTGGTTGTATGATACATAATTCATAAAATTAATTTTAGTGTATTTAATTCATAAAATTAGTCTGAGTATATTTAGGATATGTCTGCTACTTCCACTTTGATCTGTGGTCCATGAAAGGAGAGGCACCTTAGTGCCAAGATGCTGTTTCATAAAACCTCTAGTTGAAAAACGTGCTTATTTTAGCAATAATGTCTCATTCTGAATATCCCATCCAGTTATAACTGGGCTGTAACTGGAAATGTATTGAGTACACAGAAAGGTTCAGTGTGGGAGAGTCTGCTTTGTTCTTATAAATGCAAGACTCAGAAAGGAAACTGTTAGTCTTAAAGCTTTTTAAAAACAATTTGGCTGTAGTTACCTTTGAAATATTTGCAAGCTGAGAGGAAACCCTTCAACTGATTCTCATTACTGAAACCTCTAAGCTTCTAATTTGAATTGAAGAGCAATATTAAAGCTTTCTAAAGAGGAAGCTACAAATGCTTAAATAAAAATTTTGTACTCAGGTAAGAGGACTTTAAAGCTCCTGAGTGCAGATAACTATTGAGTCTACATTTCAGATATTGTTTAGATATGTTAGCTTGTGTGACAGCAGGCTGCAGCTGGATTTGCTATTAAAATACCCTAAATCATTGATACTTTACAAATCTGTTCTTTCATCCTTGTTGCTTTAAACCTTCCCTTTTAAACAGGAGGTCTTCCTACATTTTCCCACCTCATTCCCAATACCAGACAGTGCCCACAATGTCTCCTCCCCTCGTCATCTTTCACTGTAAATAGATCTCTCTTTCAGTATTTTTACTGCTTTCTGATCAAAGCCTCTGGATAAAATAGTTTCCCCTTATTTTTAATTTGCCATCTTGTTTCTCACTCTGTTTTGTAAAGCCTTAGAATGGACTTCAGGCTGTGTGGAACCAAGTGCAAACACTTTATCCTTCTGCTTCAGGATTTGTTTCATTCTTTCCTAACTCTCTTTTCCTGGTGCTTTTCTGCTTTCCATGCACCTGACAGCTCTCATTTGTCTGACAGCTACTCTTTAAAAATCCTTTTTCCTACTTCTTCTCTCCTTGCTTGTAAACAAAGAGTGTTTTCCCTGCACTCTCAGGATATGTGTGGCAGCAGCCCTGTGGTTATTTAGAGGTGCTGTATCCATCTTCTCTGACTGCTGAGTAGTTTGTATACAGTCTGTATCTCCTTGTTGTCTGGCACGTGGCTGACGCCTCCTTGCTGTACTCTGCTCCATGTGCTCTATATTCTCCCCTAGGAGAGGAGTAATACCCATAATGGATATTTCCTGCCCTGCTAATACACTGCTGGGACACAGATGGGTGTTACAGCGTGGTCTGAGAACCTGATAAGAGCAAGAGAGATGTGAGAGCCGGTAAATGAAAATGGACAGTTGTTGTCTAAAATCCCGTCATGAGGAGGAAACTTCTGGGGTTTGGTGACTACGACATAGGAGGGTGATAACAGCTTGACATTGCATCGTGCTTGCCAGTGTGTTTTTCAAGCACCATCACTAGTCTGATGATCCCAAGTTCCTCCCATTGTTGATTTCTGTGGCACTTCAAAACACTGGTTAGTTGTCTTTCTACTCTGTATGGCTGAATTGTGAATTGAGAGGATTTCGGTAAAAAGCACCTGTTGCTTAATCTTGTTTTGCTTTAATTTGGTTCCTGTGCTGTCAGACCTGTCATGGGAAAAAAGCAGTAATTTGGGCTATTGCCTCTTTCCTTTTCAGGTGCAGAACACTTCTCTATTTTATGTTTCAGTGAGACATTGACTCTGGTTTATGGTACTTTCCTTTGTTTATTCTTTTTAAATCTAAATGAGCCCTTACTCAGTCTGTTTTCTGAACCCCGTTACATTATAATGGGAGTATCCAGAAAGACTAGCTTTACTTTGCCCTCATAGTTTTAACCTCTTTGGTCTCCCTCGGTGTGGGAGAGTGAGGGACTCCTCTAGAGGGCAGTTCAATGCAGGATCCTGATTGCAGCCTCCTTGTGTCACCTGCTGGAGGATCTTCTGCCTTTCCATTGCATGTGTGCACAACGTAGGAAATAAGGAAATAAGGCACACTTACTTTTAAGGTGTTGTTAGTATTTCTGTACTGCTCTTGAGACTCCTTCTGCAGCAGTTTCCCAGATTTCAAGCAAAGTTTCAACAGTCCAGTTAAACCAAGGAGTGTGTCTGATGGGCCAAAAAACCCAAACAAAAAAGCAATCCTTCCCAACACAAGTTGGAAGTTTCTCTCTTATCCTACCAGAACCAGTAGGAGAGATTAAATGCTTTTGTCCCTTCCTTTCCTCCTCCCATCACCTGCCACAAACCTCTGCCTTCCTGCATTCCTTACTAAAGAGTTCTTTTTCTGATGTATAACTTTTTATTCCAAAAACTCAGATAAGATTAAATCTTTAAGTTACTTGGTAGGTTTCAAGTTAAAACTTCTCATTTTTTGCAGACATAATGTGTTTTGCAAGACTGATGGTTTTCAGGGGGTTTTTATTTAGTGAATAGAAATTCAGACAAATTACACAGAAAATTACCTCCTGTGTTTCCCTTTGGATCTCTTGGTTGGTCTTGACTTTGTTGGTAGAAAGATGCTTCAATTACAAACACTGAAATCACTTTCAGCTTCAAGCAAATAAGGCCAATCTAAGTCAACACCTGATTAGTACTTCCAAATTTTTGTTTAGATCTCTTCTCTTCAATGCAGGGACTGAAGAGAGAACCATCTGTGGTATTCCAGACTCTTGAAGAAAAGATGGTTTTACTGGACAAACCAATCTTTTAGCATTACAGCTCTGTAGTTCTCTGCAGTGGATTTCAGTGCCTCCAGAAGAAAATCCAGCAAATTTAACTGGGAAATGTTTGAGAGATTTTTCCTATTAGTTTTGGCAGAATAGTGATTCTGCATAACAGCCACTTCTGTTTATTAGAAACAAAGTCCATCAGCAATAAATTCTGTTACTTTTTGGTAGGTTTTCGGGTAGGTGGATAGTACCAGTTGCTCAGATAAATTGATAAAACACACAGAGTAAGATCTCACCTGTGTAAGTTCATGTGGTTTGAGGCAACAAGTGAGTACATATATTTAAAATGTGTGGAAGCTCTCAGCTGTCTGTTCATTGGATTGTGGAGAGATGCTTTAGTACTTTTTCAGAACTTTTTGTCATACCTGTAACTACTGGTTCATACACAGAAAATAAATATCAAATATTGGAAAACATTTCTACATTTTCCCCCCTGAAGTTACACTCATTACAGAAGCTTCCATCTGCTGAAATTGTTTGTACTACTTGGTTTTTAAGTGAGTCAAAGTACTTTGTTTTTGTGATTCAGTGAATTTGTATTATAAATACTTCTTTGCACTTCATCAAGGAGGGAATTTTAGTGTATTCCTCTTTTTTAATGTAGTTCCCCGTGTTTTGGTACCATCCCAAGAGCCTGTGGCTATAACAGAGGTTATGAAGGAAAGTAGTTTTTCTGTGTTTTCCTTGACAGAGTGAGAAATCTTGAATAATCCCTTAACTCAGAGAGCATCTGGAAGATTGATAATCAGTGCCACTACTGCATGGTGACATAGATTAGTCAAGAGGTGAACAAGGTTTTGACAGTTTTTCAGTTTCCCTGAGGTGCCTACTATCCACAGTACTTCAATCCAATTATTATGTTCTTTAGACCATTTATCATCTGTTTTGGAATCACTGTATGAAGTGCTGTAGGTAGTTAGTGATCAAGCCATTTTTGTGGTTTCCCACACACGTCTTACAGCTGAGCAGTGTTGAACTGGGTTACTGGGAAAAATGTTTTTTTTTTTCTCTCATTCTCTGTCCCTGTAGGAAATGAAGGTGTTTTTTAGGTGATTTTAGCTTAGGTGATTAACTCATTTGTTAGAAGCTTTCCTCTTAAGGAAAACATGCCTGCTTTGGCTGAAAAAGTACACATTGTAGTCAGACCAGTTGACTTCATGGTAATGAGGAAGCTATTCCCTGAACTGAGGTGAGGAAAGGGAGTTTTTGGAGTGTGAATATGAATTCCCATTTGGCTAAGCTCTGCCTACAAAAAACCAAAAGCAAACAAAAAAAAAAAAAAAAAAAAAAAAAAACCAAAAAAAACCCCGCTAGTTGGCAATGTCTTGTCTCTTTTTGGTTCTTAATATTTTAGACTTTTTTAGGTGTTTTTTTAAGCTAAGCCTTTTCATTAAAGGATAAATATGTTTGTAAAGAGATCTCTCCTTGTAGTTGCCACTGTCCCTTGTTAGCTGCAGTATTTGGCCCAAGCACTGTAGAGTCACATGTGCAGACTCTCCGGCTCTGATGAATGACTTCCCATCCCTCCTCCTCCTGGGATCAAACCTGGGGAACGGGTTAGTCTTGTATTTTTACCAAACTTCTGGAATGGCCTTACCAGTGGAGTTTTACTGAAGTATTACATTTATTTAGTAGTCTGATGGGCAGTGATGTGGTGCTTGATGGACTTCTAGAGCACAGTTTCCTCTTCTTTTCACGTACCTCCAAATACCTGAAAGCCAAAATCTTAACGAGAACACAGTTGTGCAAAATGGAACGTGTATTACATAAATAGAAAGTAGAATGCACTAACCTGTTGTGTAAGACCGTGTAACAGAGGTTTGTTGAGCCTCTGGGTTTGAAAGAGGCCTTAAAAGGGTTGGTTTACCCAAAGCCCACAAGAGGCAAAGCCATTTCTTGAGCACAGGAAAGCGCTCGGTGTTTGTGGCTCTTACAAGCCCCAGGGTGTGACCATTTGCATCATTAAATGCTTCTCATCTACTACAAACTGATTTTGCTGTTTTATTCTGCCTGTTTGCAAACAGACTTGGGATTTGTCTGAAAGAGAAAAAGATACCCCTCAATTAGGACCTTTGCTGTTGGACTGCGCTGTTCTCCAGCACCGTGTGCAGTTTTTGTTGGTACTGGTCAACCTACAGGAGCTGCACAAAGCTGAAGTCCATTCATAATTGAGGGAATAAACAGTGCAAAGTCACTGGTGTGGGAGGGGTAGGGGTTTGATATTTTGGCATGACTGAACAGTCAGGTGCTCTCGGAATCAGCAGCTGCTGCAAAGTTGTGGGTGTTACGAGATGGAAACCATTGACTGCAGCGCTGATTATCTAAACAGCTCTTTTGTACCCTGGCAGCAATGGAATTTCTCTTCCTTCCACTTTCCGGGTGACTTCTTATCCAGTATGACAGCTTGTCATGTGCAATCATCGTCACATTAGTCCCGTGAGAACGGTGCTCTCCTGAACACCCTGGTCCCTTCCGCGCACAGGGGGGAGCGCAGGTTCAGGGAGGAGTTTGCACTTGCACGTACTTGTTGCACTTCACTCAAAGAGGCGACTGAAAGGGACTGACAAGGCATTAACCAAAAGGAGGAACAGTTTGCTCCTCTCTGGAATTTGTGGTTCAGAGTGACAAAGAGAGACTGCTTGGGAAGGGATTTAAGAAGCTGAATGAAGTTATTCTGCACATGTGCGGTTAAGTAAAATGGAATTAAACTGAGTATGCTTTGTTCTTTTAGACTGGTCACAGAAATAAATGAGAACATTTTGCACTGACTTAAGCACACATTGGTTTAGAAATGTTTTGTCTCACAGATATCTATGAGCATTAACACACATTCAGTGGCTTGATTCTGTGGATTTTTAACTTATTTTTCAGTTGCAGGAGACCTTGAAAGTCTCATTGCGCAATGTTTTTTGAAATACAGAAAATGCACAGTGTACTTCACTTGTGTGTAGTTAACTGCACACCTGTGTGTGTTAACTGCTTTTAGGGTTTTTACACACTGTGTTGTGAAAATTAATGGTATTATGTGTCCATTGTGGAGGAAAGGGGCAGGCAATGAACAGTTAAAGAGAGTCCCAGACAGACCAAAGAAAACGGGCTGTAAAACAGTCATTCATAAGACCACCAAATTATGATTTAGTGTCTTCGAAACAGGAATGAAGAAAGATGTGCCAGGAGGCTACGCTGGCTGTTACAGGACTTACCTGAAGATTTGGGTATGAAAACTGTAGCAGTTGGTGTAGGTGAAGAAAGGGTGAGGAAGGTTGGATTGTCAGTATTTGGGTGAATGAGTAAGAGACAGTGGACATGGGGAACTATTATCAGAAACTCAGCCTGGAGGTGGTATTTAAATCAGGGGTGTGAGAGAACATCCCCCCAAAAAATTCTGAGGAACATTCAGAAGTAAGAGAGCTAAGAAAATGTGTTTGGGGTAACCCAGTCACTGATGCTGTTGAACATAACACAGTGCAAGGCTAATGAGGACTGATGACTGACCCAAAACTTAGGGAAGGAAATGGCTGGAAGGGGGATTACTAAGGAAAGGGAAGTTTTGTTGACAATTTTATTTGTTGATTTATTTATTTCAGGAGTAAGTTGATACAAAATTCACTTTTGTATTCCTTTGGATATAACAGAGATCCATTTTATCTCTTAAGTAGGACATTTTAAGGAATGGAATGAAAGGAAGAAGAAAATTTCAGTGGTGGGCTGTTGGTTCAGTGAAGTTTGGTGAAAATAAGAGAGCAGTTAATGGAATAGTTCTTGTGTGTGCCTTAAGAATGGGATTTGAAGATGTGCTTGAAAGCTGATGCAAGAAATAAAGATGAGCAAACCCAAAGAAAAAGCAGCTAAATAGCAAGAGCTCTGTCCCAGACCTCTGATCTTTGCATTAGTACCCATCCCATAAAAGTTACTTGAGTAGTTGCACTGCCTTATATTGGAAAGGCTGATGTTCAGCAGACAGTTGTCTTAAATACCTTGCATTGTTTGGAGACAGTTTTGTGTGTCTATTTTGGTTCAGCATAATGATTAAGATGATTTAGATGGCTGAAACAACTTTTTGTGACCAAATATCCAGAGTCAGCATATGGGATATGTATTCATAATCCCAGTCCATGGCATGTGTACTTCTGGGGATATGCAGCCATTTCAGATTCCTAAATTGTTTGATCAGGAGATGAGAATTGACAAATAACTGACAACTGTGGGGTCCTTTGCCCTTAGTCTTACTTGTGAACCCGATCTTAAATTATTTCATTGTGGCCTGAAATCCTCTTGACCAGGGAAATGATGCACAGTTCACAGATTTCAGAACTGTTCATTTTTCATTTTTTTTTTCATATTTCGGTAGATTCTGCAGGCATCAACATACATTTTTTATTTTGCTACTAAAAATCAAGCTTATGGCAGTCTGCTTTGTTTTGGTGTAGTTTGATGATGACTGTATTCGGTTTAATGGCAGCTTGTTTGTGTGCCTTGGTTTGGGTTTTATCTTAAATTTAAGATAAGCTGGTTTTTAAAGCTGTTATATATTCTGTTTGTAACTTTTTAGTTCTATTTTTTCTTTTTAACATTTAAAGCATCTGTTCTGTCTTGAATAGGCCTGGAAGTTGATGTGTTTCTGGGTTCATGTAATAAGTCCCCTTATGGAATCATACTTGTCACTGTCTGAAACAGAACTGTCACCCTGAATTCCTTAATAATTTAATATTTCAGTATCATGTTCCAGTGTCTACCTTGTTTGAAATATTGAATTGAAACATTTGAATGATTTCTCTGGTTTCTTCTAGGGGCTCAACAACAGCTTATGACCCAACATGCTTTGGAGAAAGAGGCTTTGGCGAAGATCAAAGTAGAAATCGAGGAGGAGCTAAAACGTCTCGATGAAGAAATCTTGGAAGGTGCTCTTCAGGTTTTCCCATTTCAATCCATAATCTCTATGCCCTGTAATGGTGGTTAATTTGTAACAGGTACTCCAGTTAAAGAGATTTTTGAATGCATTGAATCTCTTTACCCTCCTCCCCCCCACAAGATTTCTACACATTGTCATGTGAAGTAAAATAGTTAAACGCCACCATTTGGAGTGGTGGAGCCCAGCCAAAGCAAACAACTGGATGACATTTAATAGGCTACTATAAATAATGAAAAGTAAACAGCCCTTAAGCTGCTGCAGCTGATGGCAGAAGTCCTCAGCAGCCAATATCCCAAGGAGTGTGGACTTAAACCATCAGATTTCTCACTTCCAGCAGGTTTATTTTTTGTGACATGCTTTGATGTGTAGATGTGGCTTTTATAGGATGCCCAGTGAGGGATGACTTGAAAACAGTCTTTGGTTTGCATGTGTATGGCAAATTGGAAATCTGAAGTAGAAAGACTCTAAGTTCATTCATAGAGAGCTTTCTTAGAGGTTTTAAGCAGAGAAGGAAAAGGTTGTATGAACAAAATAATATTTTAAAAAATGATACTCTAGTACTGCTGCAGAGATGTCCATGTGTGGGCAAATTCTAGCACAGAAAAGAGGCTCCCTTACTGCTCCATCAGGGTTGGCATCAGCTTAAAATTGAGAATAGCTGCACATTCAGGAAAGTTACTGGCTGGGATGCAATTGTGAAATAAGAGCTGGAGGGGAAATGCAGCTCAAAGTCATCTGGGGCTCGTAAGTACCACTTTGAGAATGTATTTGGATGTTGTTTTATGATCATGTGTTTTTGATTTGTTCATAACATGCTTTGACTACAGAGCTGTGATTTCTTCATCCCTCATGTAAACTGTGTTAACTGCTGGGATAAGAAATCCGAGACTGTTGATGTTCTTATAGGAATCTATTTAATTTTATTTTGTATACTTGTTTCTCTCAGCATTTACCACTACAGGATTTGACTGCCACACTTCCCCAGTGTTCAGCCCTGCCAATCCAGAGAGCTCAATAGAAGACTGCCTGGCTCATTTGGGGGAGAAAGTGTCCCAGGAGTTGAAGGAACACCTGCACAAAGCACTACAGACCTTGCTTAGCAAGTGAGTTTCCATTTGCTTTTCCAAAGGGAAGGTGTTTCCTTTCGCACTGTGACTGCTGTTGAAATGCTGAAGATGGAACTGCATCTTGTATTGCATTTCTTTCTTTTTCAGTGTTCCTTTATCTGGCTGAGGGTTTTTTTTGTGTTGTAATGTGCAAATACTTTGTGTTATTCGGCCTTTGCAGTAATGTAAATTCTAAAATCTTTCTAAGCTTATTTCATTGAACTTCTGAGGCTGCTTCAGGCAGTTTGAGGTGCTGGTGGAAGTGGCAGCTGCCACTGCCATTGCCAATTAATTTCATGAATCTGGGCTGTAGCCAGATTAACTTCTTTTACCTTATAGTTAAGAGTGGAGCTGAGGGTTGGTTTGTAGTCTGGCTCCTGATGAGTGGGAGAGTTTGCCTGAAAGGATGGTGGTTAAATGCTTTGTGTCCACCCTTCAGGTACACATCTGGAGCAGATGTGGGCCCCTGGGCTAACCTTGGTGCCTTAAGAGCTGTGCTGCCAGTTTAAGCTTGTTGTTTAAACAGCACATTGTACTTGGCATGCAAGTATCTTGATTAATGTCTTTTGAAAATGGATAAAATTGTTGTGGTTGCTTGGTTTTCTGTTATAAATTACCAGCCTGAATTTAATGGATCCACATTGACTACTTGAGGCTTTTCTGAGTGACCTCCAAAATGTGTTTGTAGAGAGCTGGAGTTGGAAGGTGCTGCTTTAGGGATGGTTACATAAATGCAGTTGTGAAGGCAACATTAGCAAACAGCTCTCTGAGCCTGTGTTTTGTGGATTGGTTAAAGTAATGTGGCTCAAAAGAGGCTGAGAATCTCCAGTGCTACTTTTTATAAGAGTTTGTGTAGCTGTTCATGAACTGTTGGAACAAAAAGGTACTGGAAGCCTAGAAATCAACACCTGGTGTAAACTTTGTTGCATGAGGTGTAAGTCTTCCATATATACATTGGAGAGGCATCTCATGCCCTCATGAAGGTAATACCCTTCATGGCAGACTTCTGGAAGATACAAATTTGGAATTCATTCCATCTGCACAAAGGAAGCACCCTTTTACTGAAGGTGGCTGAGCACTGGCACAGGTTGCCCAGAGGGGTTGTAGAGTCTCCATACTTGGAGATTCTCAAAAGCTGTCCTGGGCAGCGTGCACTAGGAGAGCCTAATAGAGCAAGGAGGTTGGACAGGATGTTCTGCAGAGGTCTCTTCCCACATCAGCCATTCTGTGATTCCTTAACTAGCCCATATATTCCTTAACTAGCTCCCTAGCTGACAAGTAGGGGTTGACTTTTTATGACTAATATAATTTAAAACTGACTGTTCAAAGTCAGGTAGGATGGGGCTTTGGGCAGCCTGATGTAGTGAAAGATGTCCCTGCCACTGATCTTTAGAGGTCCCTTCCAACCCAAACCATCCTGTGATTCTATGACCCTGATGTGGAGTTCACACCAAAGGTGCCATGTGACATCTGACCAGAGAGATGAAGATGGTTGTCTCTTTTTCCATGAATCATCCAAGGGAGAAGTGCACTCTGTCTTAAGTGGCAAAAGATAGGCCAGTGTGTTCCTCTAGAAATGGCAGCAGCTTATCTGCCTTTACAAGCCAGGCATTAGTCCCACGTGGCCTTAAAAACTTGTACTTCCTGTCTTCTGAAGAGCTGAGATTCTGAAAAATACCTCACTAACACACTAAAAAACCAGACTGGCAAGGTCTTGGAGTGGTGGAGCAGGAAGTCTTACAACCCATCCTTTTTCTGTGTCTAAAATGTTACATCGAAATAACAGCATTTTAAGTGTCTTAAAGGTTATTGATAGTTGGCTGACTGGCTGACATTGAGGGGTCATAAGTGGTGCACTCTAGGTTGATTCTTTTTGGAAAGTTCCTGAAAGGAGGTCTTTGAAAATTAAGGATTTCTAGCTTGTTGGTAACCTGATGTTCTAGGCTTCTTATGTTTTCTTTGGGAAAATGTTTGCATTCTGAGTAATTTTTTCTTTCTGTACGTACAGACGTACGTATAAAATCTGAAATGCCCGTGAAACTATGTGGCCTTTTTCTAAGGCAAAGTAGAGCTACTGTTTAATCTCCCGAGAATATCCTTCCTGCAGCTGTTCTTGCTCTTCTCATCCCACTGATTGATCTGGATTTGCGTTGTAAAGAACTAACATATCAAGGAAGTTAAGAGAATGCACTTAAAATGACAAACCCAAATTATGTTTTCCCCACTGTGCTTTAACTCTGTTCTTTTACCCATGTTTGCCACAGTAGCGCTGTTCGATGCAATACATATTTATTTCACTTGTATTTTCCTGCTCTCTAACCTGCATATAAACAAGTATTAGGGTTCAGCAGGCTGTTAGGTCATGACAGATTCAATAAGGAGTTTTCTTGTCCAATGCCAGTTAACACTATTTCCCTTAAACTAAAGTCTGAACTTGCCTTTTGTAATGATCTGGCTGCTTTTGAAGCAGTGCATCACTTGGCAGACAGCCTTTATTGTTACTGGTTCTGTATCAGTTGCTGTGTGATCTTGGAGGAAAGAATATGGAAGAGTGGAATTTCATCATCCCGATTCTGAGAAGTAGAGAGGTGATAAATCTAGAATGGAGGTATCTACTGAAATATGAAGGGAGTTTTTATGATCAGAAGTGCTGTTTCTTGCAAATAAAGGCTTCAACTCTAACATAATGTTAATGCAGCCAAGCACTCTGTGTTGGTTCATAGCCCATATTGTTTATAAAATTTTTACTCTTCATTGGCCTCTAGCTCACATATGAATTTCTTAGTGGAATTTTTTATCTTTAAAGTCTGGGACCATAAAAAAATTTTATTCAAGAGCTTAGAAATTTTGTAGCATATCAGAGAGCCTACTTATCTAATGTCTTTTAAGTTGTAGAGTATCAAATTGTTACAAAATTTACTTAATCAGTTAAACAAAACTGTGTAACTGGGAGAAGGTGATGCCTTCCTGACCCTGTCTGGTGCTGGTGTTTTATATCCTGAAACACAAGACTCGTTAGCTCTGGAAAATCATTTGCTGTGATGCATGTGAAAATGTTTTGTTCTCTGGAAACTGAGAATTTTATTTTATTCTTGTTCTTTTGTTTCCTTTTATAACTTTCAGTGTTGGTTTAACTTCTGCAGGCCGGTGACATATCAAGAATATCGAGAGCGCACGCAAGAGGCAGCTGCTCATGCCAATGGATGGAACAAGGTACCAGATAAATGACTTTACCTTGGATATGTCTCATATCTGTTTGATGTCCATAATGGTTTTATGAGGTACAGCTTCACAGAGGGCCCGGAATACAAAGAACCCACTTGGTTTTAGTGTGAAATAAATTGCACTCTCAGAACGTGCACATATTGAGTAGTTTTTAGGTAATTTAGTCAGAAGTTATAGAATGTAAGTATTAGGTCAATCCTCCTCTATTATAGTAAAATGAAAAGTTAGAGATGTTGCTTGACTTTTTTTTTTTAATAATCATTAAACATTTTTAAATTCCCAAGAGACGTTTATTCCCGTAGCAGTTTCGTAATGGAATCTGATACAGATGTTTTCGTAATACTTCTCTACTGTTTTTCTGTTCCCATGTCAGGTTTAAAATACATGTAAAAAAGAGTGCTGAACATGGTGAAAATAAAAACTGACAGTATCTTCATGATATTTAAATTGTTCATAAAACATAAGCATAGTGTGCCTACCTGGATTCCAGAGTAGTTGTCTCAAATGATACAAAACTTCCTTTTAAAGCAATGTGCAAATCTGTAAATGAACTGAACCTTCTCTTTAAAACAAAATGCAAATCTGTAAATGAACTATCTTTATAATACTTTTAATGTAGAATGAGTAGAATTACTCTTCCCAGATTCATCTTTCATTAATCATTCAAATTCATCTCCTTAATCCTTCTCTGATAGGTTCAGTGGGCATCAGAAAAAGAATGAAATGAAATAACTATTTGCAAATTTAATCACAATTTGAGTGTTAAAATTCAGTCTTAAATTTAAAATAGAACAAGAAATCTTTTCCCTCTTTATATTTTTTTTCCAGAAATACTTTTCCTTGACTAGATTTCCCTGCTTACTTCAGAAACTAACCAAGGGTGTGGGCACTCATAAAGCAGTTTGTTTAAACATTGCATGACAAGTTACTGCCCATGGCTCCAGCAATTATAATTGCTTTATGTGTGTGCTCTTTCAATTTGTCCTCTTGTGATTCACAGCATTTTAGTTTAAACAACCATGAAATCTGATTATCAAGAAGGTGGCTTAAGCTAGCACATTTTGCTTTTCAGTTGGTGAAAACTAAAACCAAGCATAAAACCAGTCATTGTGGCTCAGCTGGCAACGGAGAGGGTGGACGGGGCTTGTCAGTGCCCTGGTGCCTCTCAGTCTGCTTTTGGAACCCATCCCTTGAAGATACAGCCCTGGGGAGGTGGAATGGCTGTTTTGGGGGGTTTATGATTCAGCCTCCATTGTGCTACATTTGTGCAGCCCCTGGGGGTGGTGAACTTTGGTCCCCATCACCTTGTGGTTGCCATCAGCTTTGCTTCCCTGTAACATTTGTTGCTACAAAACTTATAGTCCAGAAGCAAACCAGAATGGAAATTTTGTAGACTAGCACAGCATCTGTTGATATTGTTTTCATGGTAGCTTGGTGCTTCAGGAATGCCCAGCAGTTCCTTTAATAATCCTTGTTTTGAGGAGGTGGAATACATTTGTGTTGGTTTCATTTCCTTTTAAATTCCTTTATCATCTTAATCAGAATTGTATTTTGTAACAGAAGACATCTAGATATCTTTCCTCCCATCTCAGCCCAGCTTAATTTTCACTGTAAAGAAGCTGTTAGAAAAATAATTTTAAGAAGCAGCTATAAATAGAGAGAGTGTTAGGTCTAATTAGCAGGCACATAGCAGCAAAATGAGGCTGTGCTGGCCTCAAGTTTGTGAAAATCTGGAGGATGTATGTTTGGGAGAACTGAAGCTTCCTTCCTTTTATGACTGAATAATAAGAAAACACAACTGGCCTGGCAGAACAGAGTAACAAAGCACTCCCTGTATCCTGTAGTTTCTTGGGTGGAGCAGAAATTGAAGATGCACAGGAGCTGTGACAGGAGCTGATGGTTTGAAATTGGGGAGGTGTCATGTTTAGTCATACCAGCTTCCGAAGAATATTCATCATACAAGTGTGAGCAGAAAATAAAGCTGTTATTTTTTCCCTTTAAAAATATGGATATTTTCCAAAGTGCAGTGGTATGTTTGAACTCCTGAACAAATTTGGTTAACTGACTGGCACATGGGATGTAAAGGGATGGTTGCAGTTACTAAAACATGAATACCCATCTGAATGAGGAGATATTGCAGGGTAAGCTAATACATGAGATCATCAGTTCTTCCACTGACATCCCACAGAAGCAAAGTTTATCCACAGACATTAGAAGTGCTGGTTCTCAGAAAAATAAACCAGGAAAATAATTTTTTCCATGTATTTCTCAGAAATTATGGTGTGAAAATAAGAGGCATGCTCTTGGATTCTGTAAAGAAAAAGTCTTCACTTTCTATTTGAAGTAAAGCTCTCAGTAAAATAAAACAAAAACAAAACCAAAACCACCTAAAACAGGGCAAATTATATTTCTGTAATAAATATAATTTTAAAAATTGAAGTACTCCACTGCTGAGTTATGTTTTTTGCTTAAAACTGAATATTCTATACATGCTCCCACTACTGTGCATCATATGAAAGGATAACAAATACTGTTATTGAGAGCCAGTGGAACTGGTGAGTAGGTTAGCAGTCATCTCAGTGCCCCATTCTTACTATTAACAGGGCCAAAGAATAACACAACTCTTAAGTACAGAAAGCTGTTGTTAACCTCTATGGAAGTACTGTGAAGGTAATTTCTTTCACGAATTTAGGGACAGTGTCATGCAAACCTGCTCCAGTTCATTCTGGTCTCAAAGGTAGAAGTGTCAGTAATTTCAGGGGGAGAGGAAAACCAGGTGGTGTTTGTTGGTCTGTGTGGGACTGGTGTTAGAGTTTGAGTTTGGTCCCTCGGTCCTGAGGCTTGCACAGGCTTACTGAATTTGGGAGGAATGGATGGATTAGGTATTTAAGTTGGCAGAGGAAGAAGGCAAGTCATGTTCAGTGTGCCAGCGTTTGAGCTCCCTTCATTTCCCAAGCAGCCTTTTTTTGCCTTTGTTTCTTTTGCCTTCAGCTTACAGTAAATGTCAAATATTTTGAGATCTCAGTGTTCATGCTCTTGTAGAGTTATGTGGGTGTGCCCAAAGCCTCTGAAACATGCCTACCCTTGACAGCATGCTTTTATTTTGGATCCAAAAAGATAAAAGTTTCTTCTGACATCTCACCTCGACTTGCTCCTTACATTTGTGCACTGTGAGCTTGTACCTCTTCTGCCTCTGAGTTGAGATCAATTGCAAGAAACTCAAAAAAAACCCCAGACTTTTAAAATTCAAACACCATCTTGCTTTTAAAATTCAAGCACCGTGACATTCCTAGTGAAGTGTTGACAGTTACCAGCGTTTGCTGTTCATCACAGAACAGTTCTGTAACCTGTCTGCCATAGTATAGGACTCTCACATTTGTTAGTCAGCTGGAACATCTGAAATTTATCAGGTAACAGGTATTTTTTGAGTCCTGTCTGGTTTCAGTAGTCCACCTCAGTGAGACACCACCATGAATTTAGTACTAATCTCAAACCCAGCCTTACTTTTCCTATTTGTCTTCCTCCAGCTTTTCATTCTAAGGTGTGATTTCAGGGACAGTAATAGTAATGCAGGATATTTCCAGCAAAGAAAACCAGGGTGAAGGGGGAAGAGATTGGAAAAGGAAGGAGGCATTATGAGGTAGGAATGAACAGTAGGAAAGCCTGTATGTCCCTTGTGCAACTGGGGAGCAGCGTTCCTGTCTGCACAGTGAATGGATGTGCAGTGCAGTTGTCACGAGTGAGGGGTGGTAAAACTGACAAATATTTTTCTCTCACATCATAAAAGTGCTTTTTCAGATGCTCGTGACTTCAGTTCATGCCGGTTTCCTGACCTTGGCGAAGTGCTGCGTATAAACTTTGCCCAGAGGCCCACTTGGGTGCTCTAGGAGAATAAATTTAGAGTTTAAAAGTTCAACTGCTTGTTGTTTAGGCAAATAAAAACATAATTTCAGAAGGAGGTGGCTAGAACTGTATAATATGAAGGAGGTGGGTTCACAGAGTCTTTCATCTTCCAGAGCAATTTGGGTTGAGGCTGAGCATTCAATTAAAGAAAAAACATTTCTAAAGAGGAATGGGTGTGGGAAATAAAGGAACAAAATCTGTGTGTTAAATTTGTCATAGTTTGACATGGAGAGGGGTTTATGTTTGTCATTCTAAACATGTCTGTAATGTTATGCTGCTGGGAGGAGATGTTTGTTCCTGTCCTGTCTCAAGGTCAAGTGTGAACTTCTAAAGAGAAGTGCAGAGTATCTATTCAAGAATGTGTATGAGTTTGCTGCTTAAATACAATTGGATGCATATCCCTTCAAGCTATGTTTTATCTTTCCATTTCTGGGGTAGAAAGTTCTGGACCTCTTCTGCTTTTCTACCTGAATCCTGTCTTGGGAAAAAAATGGGGCTTAAGAAAGCACTGCAGTCCTGTCCTGTGAAATTCTCTAGTTAAGCTGTGTTATTTTGCATATCAAACTGAGTGTTTCTTTTTTAGTGCCTTGTATTGCGTGTCTGCCTTGTGTCTTCACAGAAATGAAGTGTATTGAAATGTCAGAAATTAAATCCCTGGTATCTTTGGACTTGTAGACTCAGACCTTTTCTGGCCATGTGAATTCTGTTCTAGCTACACAGTAGCATTGATGATGCTTTTTATATTTATTCACAATTCTTGTTTCTTGAAGGTCTTGGTGCCCCTGGTTCTGTTACAGCAGTTTCTGATGGAGTTAACCAGACGGGGCCAGGAACCACTGAGTGCCCTTGTGAACTTCGGGGTGACATATCTAGAAGACTATTCTGCAGACTATATCATTCAACAGGGAGGATGGGTAAGAAGACCATGTTTCATTTTCATACTTTGTCCGAAGTTTATTTGTGATAAATGTGATGAGTCTGAACAGGAGTGAAAGCTGAGGAGTTGCTAGAAGGAATGACTCAGAAAAAGCAAAAAAATAGGAGGAGGTCAGGACCAGAAAGGGATCTCTGGCAGTCATCTATGTCACTTCTCTGCCCCAAGGCAGAACTGACTTTTACCCATTCATTTCTGATGCTGACAATAAAGACCTGTGTGATTGGACTCCACGGTTTCCCCAGGCAGTCTGTTCCAGTTCTTTGCATGCCTGGTTTGCTGGATTGCTGTTGTAGATGAAGAGGTCCTTAGGTGTCAGATAACAATTAGGTGTCATACACGGTGTGTTAAGGTGCTAATTTGTTGGTAATTTGTATGGTGAGCTTTTGATTGTATGTGCTTTCCTGTTAATATACATGCAGCACTGCATGTGGAAGCAAACACCCCTAGCAAGAGATACTGTGCCCAAGAGGCTCTTCTTTTTAATAGTATCCCCTAGTGACTGCTGGGAATGCTATATATTTTCTTTTCTCCTCTTAAATTTCAGAGGGGTTTTTTAGCAAAGTAATTGGAGAACACTTCATACAGAAATGTCAGTAGGTACTAATTTATTTTTATAATAAGTGTTAAAATACCTCATGCATATTAGACTTTATAGCTGTATAGGAACATGCATAGAATGAGCAATCAGGATTTCTTTGTGCTTCAATTTTCCTTGTAGAAATCTTTAATTCATGGTAACCAATGTTCCTGAGTCATGGCATGCTGAGAAGGTTTCATTTAAAAATACATCAGAGAGACAGCTCAGAGCCCAGGAGCTGGGTCTTGAAGGCTGAGCCTTAAGATTACTGGGTTTGGGAGGGATGCCAGATTTGAATGGAATTAATCTGGGATTTGTGAAATGGCTCCAGCAAGTTGATTTATTCTAAAAAGAAAAGCTGTTCAGGAAAACCCAGTGATAAAAAAAGCACTAGTAGGAAAAATCTCATTCAGAAGCTTCTCACATTTCAAGAGTGTACCTGAGCTTTTTTTTAAGACTAGTTCTTTCCAGAATTTCTGCACATCTGCACCTTCTTTATCTGTTCCCTTCCTGGCAGCGGTGGATAATAGTTTTCAAGGCCTTTGGGAGGGATTGTTTGTCTTTAATGGAGAGAAGCAGTAACAGCACTCAGCCAAATGACCTCAGGTTGTTTGATAAATGCACTTACATTTCAAAGTATTTTCATCCCAGGGCAGGTCCTTACTTGCAGCTTTTAGACAGATCAGTGTTGGTGCTGTTTTGCTTTCCTGCCTCGTTTTTTAACCCCAGAAAGGGCTGTGGTCTGTTCTCCAGCCTCTTTTAGAGGCCTGCTGTAAACACACTTAATACAGCGCAAAGCCTCTGAAAACAAGCAGCTTTCCAGCACGGCCTCCAAGGGAGGGGGCTGTGCTTTGTGTTTGTGTGACTGTGCATGTATGTACAGAGCCGGGCTGCCAGCCCGTCTGTGTCCGTCCAGCCAGGCATGAAATCACACTGACACCAGCGGCGCAGCAAACAAGCCAGAGCTATTTTTGAAACAGCACAAGAGGCGAGGAAAGAGACAAGGTGATGAAAATCCTTTCCAGATGAATTAATGTAGCTGCACTAACCTTTTGTGAGTTGCTCTGGGCATAGGGCTGGGGACCCACTGGGCGTGTGACTTTACGTGGAGGAAGGGAAATATGTGGGTTTACTGTATTTTTTTTTTTTTCCTCCCTAAGCAAAATGTTAATCTTTCCCAAGCTGCATGATTCTCAGTTTGTTCCGAGCCTGTGGGATGGTGGTTGGGGATGGCAGTGCTGGGAGCAGGGCGTGGGGCCGGGGTGGGAGAGGTTGTGTTTCTGAGAAGGGCCGGGAAGAGCCACTGCCATGGAAGTGTTTGCATTTTTTGAGATAAGCATCTGCCACTGGGGCTCTGTGTGCCGGATCAAGTTGTCAGTAATAATCTGCTAGAGCCATAAGGGCAGCATAGAAACCTGGGAGTCTCCAGTGACTCATGTTGCTGTGACAGTAACAGGGTCAATTTTTGTGTTATTTTGGAGCGGGTGAAGATAGGTCTTTCCTGCAGCTGTGAAGAGCTTGCTTAAAACTGAGAAGATGCCAGAATAGCCTCTCTGGTTTTTTGTGGGCCAGGAGCAGAGGAGAACTTCACAGGAGTCAGCTTTTCAGGGGCAGACCTGAAAAACTCTCTGGTGTCTCTGGTGCTATCTCTTCCCTTGGCACTGCATGATTTGGGATCTTCCTCAATTTTTGGATTGAAGTCAACCTTTTCCAGGAGGGAAGTAGCCAGTCAAAGGTAAGGGGTCAGCTGAGCCTTTCCTGTGCCCCACTGTGGATCTGGGGAGTCAAAATTTTACAGAGCTGTGTCATGCACTTGGTGCATCCTGCTGTGCAGCCAGGATGCGGCTGGAAGAGCTCCCAGTGTTCTGCATGTGTGCAAGGCTTGAAGGTTCCTTTAGGAGCTCAGGAGACTTGTTGGTCTGGGAAAGCATCTGATTGAGGAAGGTGGACAGTTAACTAGAAGCAAAATTGCTGGCTCAAGGGAGTTAAGATTTATAAATTGGATAGCTCTGCAGCAAATTTCGAGAAGTCGATGTGGCTTGTAGGGAATGGGAGATTTGAGATATGAGAGGATGAGAAGTTGCATTTTGATTTTTTTCATGCCAGTCCTGCAGAGAGATGGTTACGAGATGATGTGTTGAAGCAATGAGTGTTCCCCTCCCATTCTTCCTTCAGGCACTGAAATTGTGATTCAGCTAACTTCTGGTGGCGGGATGGGACTGGGATGTAATGGTGGGTTGGTTGGTGAGGGAATGGCTGGCATATTTTTGTGTTCAAGTGCATAGGTATTTCAGTGCTGTGATTCTGGCCATTGTGTATCCTGTTCCCCTTCCCCTGGCTCTCTTCCACTACTTCAGGGTGAAAGTCTTCCAAGTAGGAATGTCTGCAGTGCACTGCATATTGTGTTTGGCTGCAGCTGGCAACATAAACATGAATGAAGAGATGAAAGGACCACCTCATCTAGTTTACAATCTCTTAGATTTGCAGGTAGATGCAAAAGGATTTTGGAGGACCGTAGGAAAGCAAGGAAATCTTACTTTCTTCTGGACAGCCTCCCTCTTTCACTAATTGCTGTGAAGGGTTTGGCTGCAGCTTTTACATTTACCCTGCTTAAGTCTTAAGTTTTAGTATGATCTCTCTTTCAGAGCAAAAAGTGTGCTGGGCATTCCAGGTTCTCTAAAAAGGGGACACATTTCTTCCTCCTGACTAATGAGTCAAATGGTCATGGTAAGATCTCCTTCCTTTACCATCTTGAACCACTGCAAAGCAATACCCAGCCTGATTACAAGTAGCTTCATTCTTCTCTTTCCCGAAAGCAATGTTAGGGCTCAACAAACTGACATGCAGTGTACATGCTCTCCCCTCCTTTTTTTCTCCTCTCCCCTCCCTTTTTCTCCTCTCCCCACCCCTTTCCTCCTCTCTCCTCCCTTCTCCTCCTCTCCCCTCCCTTTCCTACTCATACCTCCCCTCCCTTTTTGCTCTGTCTGACTTCTCCAGGGCTGAATGCTGCTGCATCAGAAGCAATTCTTGGTCTCCTGGAAAGGTGCACAGTAAGGCCAGTCAGTTGGTAAGGATATTTTTCCTCTTCCTTTTCCACCCCTACTCCCAAAAAATTTACTTCTTCTCAGGTTCTGCGGATCCTGTTTTCATGGTTAGATTTCATATATGTAGAAATAGCCTGGGAATGTCTATAAGGAGGAAAAAGTGTAAGATTGCTTGGAAACTAGCTGCCTTTTTTTTTCTCTCAGACTCACATCCCTGTTACAAGCCCATCTGCTTTTCCCTTGTTTGAAGAGGTGAATTAAGCGCACGCAATCGATGTTTATCGGTGTGCAGTTAATAACCAGCCTGGAACTTCTTGTATTTGTGAAGCTGAAATTGTCTCTGCCTTCCCAGGGTTCTTGTCTCACGATGTTCAGGCCTGGATTTGCGTTTAACTAGTTCATTGCCTATGTCAAAGAGAGTAAAAGTAAATTTGCTTATAATGTGCACAGTGTTTACAGTTTCCTATCTCAGCCTTAGAGGAGCTGTTCTCTCTGTGTTCCCGGTGTTTTGTCTTGGGCTTTGCAGCGAGTGTAAACATTCTCTTCACTGCTGGTGCTTGAATAATGTGCGTATGAGAGTCTGTTAAACAATCTGGAGGAGAAAGAGTAAAGAGATGCTTGTCATCCCACGGAAGGAGGCAGGCAGTTTGTGCTACTGGGATGAAAATCTCCTGCAGCAGTCCAGGTGTCTGCCCTGGGAATGACAATGCAGAAATAGAGAGACGTGCTCCACTGGAGGAGAGAGAAGTAAGTTTAATGTGGGGGAGATGCAAGAAAGGGCAGTCTAATTAGAGAAGTCCTAGAAAGGAGTTTTCCTTTCAAAATAATTCTAATTTCCACTCGTGTCATGGAACTCTGCAGTGAAATGTCCACTTTTATTTGTATCTAACTTCTTTGATACAGTAATAGATTTTTTTAGGCACTGCAACTGAAGAAGGAAATTAAACAGTAAAGGAGCAACTAGATCTCCTTTCTGTTTTTCCCTCCGACAACTTCAAATCTGTCTGTCTGAAGAAGTGGTCTATAAATAACTGAATTCACCTCAATTTAAACAGATAACACAGAAACCTTAAAAGATGTTGGTTTGGTGCTGACTCTCTGCAGGTTGTAGAGGTTATGCTGGAGGACAGGGATGGAATAGGATCATTTCTGCAGGCTGTTCTAGCCAAAGCATTCCTTGAAGGGAAGAATGAGAGCAGTGGTTGCAGTACAGGAGTGCTTTGATCTGGTTCACTCAACCTTTTTTTTTTTTCCTTAATAAAAAGTGCTGTCCTATTTGTGGACTGTTTGTAAGAACTCTGCTCTCTTTGTCATAGCTCCACCTGTCTCAACAGTTTCAGAGAGATGGACAGAGAG